TAAGTATGATTCTGAATCATTGGAAAAGTTTCAATGAATAGTAGAATGAATAAGAATAATCAATTAGGCAGAAAGATAAAAGTTTCTCCAATCTGAAAAGATGGGAGAGTACTTAAGTATCTGTTTTATGATTAACTTAGTGATTGTATAACCGTGTCACAATTGACCCTCTAAGGACACCTTAGTACACTATTATGGCTAAGAAGAGGAATCAAAAATTGTTAAAATGGTTGAATCAAAAGGTGTTTCGTTCTTAATCTTGCATGTTTGAAATTGGTAAGTTGTGATGTCTTGGATAAGGCAAAGACCAACTAAGACCAATTGTGTGTGGTGCTTGCCTTGATAAGGACCTACACTAACTCTTGAATATTTGTTTTGTCAAGAAATGTTTCTTGACAAGAGAATCTTGTATGTCAAGAGGTCAATGGGAGTCTAAATGATCTTGAAAAGTTTCAAGAACTAATCAAGGGTAAACCTATTGTGAAACACTAGCGCACGTCTCGAGGTTTGTAACCTATCATGTTGACACATTTTTTTGTTTCTGTGCCATTCCAGTTTAAGTCAACTATGCATATGAGTTCTATGAGTTCTCAATTGATTGCATAGAGGCAAGGCATCTTGATCAATGGAAAGTACATTGATAGGTAAGGGCGAGCTGCTAAAAGACTTGGAAGCAATGGTGGGACACTTGATGGCAAGAAATAAACAATGAACAAGTTCTGTCCATAAGAGTTTGGATTTGTCACAAACATTATCTTATTATTATGGTTATGACAAATTCACATGGATAGGAATACATACACCATAAAATCTAAGTGTCATAAGGTTTCTCTCCTCCATGAAAATGATTGTGAGGAAACGCTTTCACTAGTAAGAGTTTAATGAGATAGCGATTATGTAAATTACATTCTCAGATGCGATTATGACTACGACATCCCTATTCATAGTTCAAATTATGAGATTTGGCAATTAGTTTGAACATTCGAGACTTATTGCTATAAGTTCTAGAATTGTTTGGACACACATGTGAGCTATCTAAGGAAAGGTGTATGAGTTGTTTTCTAAAAGCTTAGATAAAAGATTGTCGAAGCGTATCGTATTAGAAATATGATATTTGGAAATCAATAAGTATTGTTTTCTAGAAGAAGATTTCTGAATACATGTCGAAGCTAGTGGGAGCATAAGTGTTATGCTGGTAAGGATATAATCATCATGTTAGTGGGAGCATGATTATTAGCAATATTAATTATAGAAAACAAAAGTTTCACTTTTCAAAGTTGCATGGGTTGAAAATTTGTTTTGCTATAATTAAGGGAGAGAATATTATACTTCGTTTCAAAATCTAAAAGCTTAGATCGAGAAATTTTAATCAAATTTAGTCAAAGGACATATATGGATGTTATGCTGAAAAGATTCAACATAAAGGAATTCTATATATGGAAATATTATAGCAAGAGACTGGTAAAGTATCACGTTTTTCATTATGAATCGTGTCCCATACGCTTCTGGTATAGGATCGATAGCATATGCTGTAATATTCGAATGTTCTAAAATTTTCCAAATGCCTAGGGCATCAAGAGGGAAAAAGGACTAGAACCGGATTTGACTAAAATAATTAAACAACTGTCAAGGACAATCTAAGGTTCGCTAAGGATTGGTCGGTTGGGAGCAGTTGGAAGTATAGTAATGAATGGACCATAATGACATTATTATGATTATATATGATTCTACTAATAATGAGTTGTCATATGGAAAATATGGAAATGTTTCCATATTAGGAGTTGGACGTTAAGAATTTATGTCTAGATTAGAAACTTTTATGCAAGAAGGATATTCAAAGAAATGTACTTTGAATGTGAGACTTCATATCTATGGAATTGTCTTGTAACAATCTACAATAGAACACTTTGTAATTTCGTTGGCAAAGTCTTTGTAACTTTTGTGCTATAAGATTACAAAATGATCATTGCATAAAATGTTAGAATCTAACATATTCTAGTAGTGGCGAGAATTTTGTGTTCATACACTAACGATAAGGATTAGGGATTGTGAAATGAGCATCATTAGAAATGTTTTCAATTGATCTATTCCACAAAGTATGGACCATAGGTAAACAGAGTGTGCATGCTTGGTGCATGGGACAGCTGCTGTTATAATTCAAGTAATAAGTTGATTATCCGAAACATTATACAATGAATAATGTGTAATCAATATGGTGACTAAATAAAAAGGAGTTTTATTTATACTCAAAAGTTTGGTGCCATATTCAATTCAATTATTATTGTGTTTCACTTTGCATGTTTTGACTTCCTGAATAATAAGATTATTCAAACGTTCCACAGTCGCTCATACTTTGGGTGTAGGTATGAAAGAAGATTGTCATGAATTGGTTTGTAGATTGTCTAAAGTGTATTAGACATAGCAAAAGTTTGTTGCAACGTTCATGAGTGCTTATGAATATGATTTGAGCATTGGTTTAAACCCACACTCACTTGGATCGCTTCATGGATTTTGTCACGAGTGATTGGTGAGAAGATAATATTTTATATTCTTGAAAACGAGACGTGTGAGTTGTATTCTGCAAGTTGGTTGCACATTGATAATATGTAAACGCACCAGTAACTTGGTGTTATAAAACATATTGTTGTGTGTGATTTGATCAGTAGGTACAAGCGAGCATTGAGTCAAAGTTTATTCGTTCCTTTTACCCAAAGTGGGATAAAAGCGATATATGTGGGCCTCTCGATGATTTAGTGATGACACCCTAAGTGCTTGGCCAAGCCTGGACTAAGTTGATGTGTTCAATTATAGTCTGTTGTCAGTCGTCATAAATCGGAAGTTGGGAAACAACACATAGACTGAGAGAATGATTATAATCCATGTATCATGTCTATACGATATCTAGAATGGAGGAATATATGATCGCTTATCTAAAGGATGCGTTACTGATAAGATCAGAGTTCGACAGCGGCTTTTGAAAGCTACGATTGCTGATCAGGTTTCGAAGTCATACGCAATATAGTTATTAGACTTATCCAAGTGGGAGACTGTTGGATTAGGTGTCTAAGCCCATAACTATTTTGGTATGTACTTGACCCGATTATGAGCATGATCCTTTTGGGTTGCCTTCATCATAGCAACTGATAGGATGAATTAAGGAGAAAAAGGATTAATTATGATTTATTATATGAATAATATATTAAGAGAGAAATCATATTGTTTAATTAATATTAGTCAAGAATTAATAAGAATTAATTTTGTGGCTAAAAGACATTAATTAAATAAAGGGGACTAGAACTGTCAATTGTGTGATAGTTGAATATTGGGCTAATGGACTCCATAGAAGTTGGAGTGGACGAAATCTATGGGGAAACTCATTAGAATTCGTCCAAGGCTTCTAAGGAGGGAGTCCATGGGCTGCTTAGGGCCTAAGCAGTCAAATTAGGGTTTTCTGGTTGAAAACCCTAATAGCCTAAGTATAAAAGGAACCCTTGGCAAGCCGAAAAACGCCTAAGAAACCCTAGGACGTTTTTGGCGCCTCCTCCGTCTCTCCTTGTTCATCTTGTTACTCATGGTGTTTGTGACTCCATTAGAGGAGCAACATTTGAGGCACTAGGCTTTTAGAAGTCAATTACAAGAAGGAATAGATTGTTATTGCTACATAACAATCAAGGTAAGATCTAAACTCTATTCTTTTGTCAATTTTCGATTATTGTATGCTAGAATTAGGGTTTATGAGCTTTGGATGATTATTGCATGTTCATTAGACAAACTAGATCCAAAGCTTTAGGGTTTGCATGTACACCATAAGATTGATGTAGTGCTCAAAACCCATCAGGTATTTTCATTACACTTTTAATGAGAGTTAATGTCTTATCCTACCCGTTCGGCTAACGACCCTCCACCAGTCAAGGAAGCGGTGGGTGAGAGTGGACACCCATTAAACCACCATTTTATAGGCAGTAAGCTTATACCCCCTTATAGACCGGCTTCGTGAATGAGTCCTACTAACGGTAAGACTGACCTTTTAATTATATATATATAATATATTAGACTTTTAATTTTATATAGTATAAGGGTGTATTTTAAACATTTAAAATATTAGGTGGTTTAATCTATTAATTAAACTAGACTTTTAATTTAATTAAACTCAAATCATATAATTATGGACTTATTAATACTCTTTTATCTTTTAATTAATTATCAACAAAACCATAATTAAAGCTTTTAATTTGAAACTTAAGTTATGAAGTCAAAAGGTTTAGTATTTAATATCTGACAATTAAAAACCTTTTTTAATCAAATTTTAAATTCCTAAACTTGAGGGCAAGTTTTGTAATTCTTCTAAAAACCCTTGAGTTTTATAACTTATAATTTATGTTACATAAATAAGACTTTCCAAGTTCCATAACTTGAGGACAGTTATGAAACTCTTCAAGAGCTTTGGACTTCAAAACTTAATGGCTACACTTGTAACCTTTCATGACTCTTGAATTGCATAACTTAAAGATCCACTACAAGAAAAAGACTCTTTTACGACGCTCAAACCACGACACTCATTGATTTATGTTACGCAAACAAGAGAGACATTAAAAAAGTGTCATCTCTTCAAAAAATTTAAAGATTTAGGTCACTCATTATTGCGTGCCCTTAAATTAGTGTCATAAGAAAAAAAAGTAAAAACACGGAGGGCGCTGTATCTTAAATGCGCGTCCTCTATAATGTCGCTTTATATTTTTAATGAACGCACGTTTAGATACGGGGGAAAATGAAATTCCCAAAATTTTGAAAACCCGCCTTGTTCTTTTCTACCTTCTTTCTATCTTTCATCTTCGCAATCGATTCTCCCCTCTCCCTCCTTTCCGATCTGCTTCTCCACTACTCCTGACCTTACTTGTTAATCGTCTCATTGGATCTCTGCTCTAGTGTCACTCTGAAGATCAAGAAATTTCAAGCCCTAGTCTCCCGAGACAGAGATGAAAAGAGAAGAAACATGAAGAATGCACCTATCGTTGTTACGACTTATGATGCTTCTCAAATTCTCTCGATTCTCTCTAGCCTCTGCAATAATCGACGATATCATCTCGCTTCGCCTGGCCTTGTCGTCAACCTCAGGTCCACCTCCACTCAACTCTCTCGTATCCCCTTCACCTATCAATATATCCGGGAACAACGCCATATACATCAAAGTAATCCATACTTCCTTTTGGATTGTTGTTTGACAAACGCCAGTCCACTGCTTCCCTCTCTATCCACCGTTCTAATATGTTGGTAAGGTGTATGCGTCAAATCTGAATTTATTGATGTCTCTTCAAGCTTCGCGCTCCAACCCAGAAGGCATCTCCGATATCCTTATCCCAAGTTTCAACCAGGTAATTCAATCTCTTTGACCTCCAATCAACAATTCCGAAGGTTTTACTATTTTGCAGTAATTTTCTCCGATTAGGATTTTCAGCCTCATTGTGGTGGTTGATTGGCAAAAACTCACCAGTTCCTCAGACGACGAAGAGGTTGATTGGTAAAGTCGACTCTAATTTCACAGCAAGCATCGTGTTACTATACGACTTATCAGTCACTGTAACATAAATTACACACGTAATCAGAAAAAAGAAAGACTATTTGAACTTCTTTTTCCTGTTATTTGCAAAGGTTTGGGAATATTGCTGGTGTATTTAAAGTCATGTCTATTGCAATTAGTGCCCTTGAAGAAGGGGAAGTTGACACCGCTTATATGACGAAACTTGCTAAACTTGCCACCTAGAAATTGATTTGGTTCAGCTTCAAGTGCTGATTCTCTTGAAGAACAGAAAAAGATAGCAAGGGCGCTCAGGTAATTTACTTGCTTTATTAACATAATATATATATATATATATATATATATATATATATATATATATATATTTTTATTGGCAGTTTATTTTAATACTATGAAGATTTGTTCTTGTACAAGTTCTCAGGGACACAGAAGGCAACTGTTGCTGGTAAGGCTGGTGGAGAAGCTTGATGCCTGCCTGCTTGCCTGCACTTTTTTATTTTTCAGTGAGACCCTTATTCACTTGAGTTTAACTATTTTTTTTCTTGTGCCTTTAATTTAACTCTTTTATTTTTTTAAAATGCAGGTTAGAATTGTGAAATCTTTTGATCCCCACACAACCCTTTTGTTGATTATGGAGTTACAGTAATAGTTCCTCTTCCTCTGGTATTGGTAAAGCTGGTGTCCCCCCTTGTTAATTGATAGCAATCTCCTGAGTCAGTGTCTTTAAAAAAAAAAATTTAAAAATATACAAGGTATTATAGATATGAAATAGTGAGTGAATGAGGTTAGGTTTTAGGAGAATATGATTTAAAAGAAGCAACTAGTACCTAAGGTGGCTGCATTTGAATCTCTAATCTATATTCTCTAGAGTAGTAGTCTTCAATCCATGCCATGCTCAATTTCTCAATTTTTGGGGTTTCAAATGCTAGCAATAGCGTCAAAGTTGATGCTTCTTGTTTGAAATATATTTTGTCTAAATATTGAAAATGGTATTCTCTGTAGTGTAGTTTAAAACATATATAAATATTATCACATGATGAATTTTCAGTGTTTTGGTATGCACCTACATCCTCAGGTAATGAGACAACCAAGAATCATGGATCTGATGCTAGGTTGGATAATTTGTGTTGGTTACTAATTTTTCATTTTTTTTTGGATTTTGATATTTTAATAATAAAAGATAGGAAGTTCTGATTTGGTGGATTTAAAAGATTTGCAGGAAAAACTATGAAAGAATTCGAATGAATATTTAAGTAACTGCACCAGTTCCATTGCAACTTAAAAGGCACACAGACTGTTTATATAGTTTTTTTCATCTTTTCATTGGGGTTTTTCTTCTTTAATTTTTCATTGTGGTATCTTCTTTTGCTTCTCTTTTTAAATGCAAGTCCATGCCATGTTTACACCTTTTGTTACTCTTTCTGCAGAGGTTGGCAGCAGGTGAATGGTTCACTGCTAGAGTTTTTGCATGTGGGTTGTTTCACATTGCTTATCCTAGTGCCTCAAAGATGTTGATGGCAGAATTGAGGTCAATTCAAGATGACATGCCTATAGTTAGGAGATCTGCCTCTACAAACATGGGGAAATTTGCTACTACTGTGGAACCTTCTCATCTCAAGACCGATGTCATGCAAATATTTGAACATCTTACACAGGATGGTTTGTTGTTTAATGTTTTTTTTAATTCATTTCAGTTTGTTTTTTGGTCTCATTTTATGATGTATTTGTTGTTATTGATTGTTTCAGGTTAAAAAGAACACAGAAGACCAAACACATCAACATGTAGATGCTTGGTCAAAGGACAGGTATAAAAAATGTCAAATTTGATGATTTTAAATTATATATTATGAACTTTAATGGTGTTTTTTTTTTTTTAAATTTTGATTTGTTTTCAAGTTTGATGGTGTTGCAGCTGAGCCTAGAAAGGGAATAAGAAGTGTCTATGTGCCTGGGAGCAAGTGCATTCCTTTTGCTCAGGTAATCATAAATAGTCTGTAAATGAGAATATATACCTGATGTATGTAATGTTTTCTTTTTTATTTTGTAAAATTAGATCGATTATAAATGATACTTATTTTGTATTAATAATGATGATCTATTTCCGTTTTTTGTATTTACTTTTGAAAACCTATAAATTAAGTCTTTAATTCATCATTTTTTTTGCTTTTATTTTCATTGTTCTTGTAGTATTTTTTTGATGGTTTGTGATGGAATCTTTTTTATTTTTTACAGATTTATTAAACATCCAAAAATTATAAGATTTCAAAGGATATATATAATATATATATATTATATATATATATATATATATATATATATATATATATATATTATATATCTGTGTGTGTTACTAGGTTTTTCATTAACAAATTAAGTGTTTGGTCGTTTCTTTTGTCCAAAATGCCCCTGCATACTGTTTGTTTGATAAAAATAATTATGATTTTAACAGTTTTGACCAAACTGCCCCTACATTTTATTTTTTTTTGGCTTAATGGGGACATGACTTATCATGTCTTATGGTCGACTTTTTGCTAATGGTGAAAACTCTGGTTTTTCTTTTCAGGTGCTAGCGAAACCGAATTACAACCTAGTTCTCTACTTTGCTGCTGATAGGCCAATAGCCAAAGACTCTCTGCAGGAAATATTTATTAATGGAACAAACACTTTTCGTGATTCAAGATTCAAATTGATTCCAAGCATTGTGGATGTATTTATTTTTATCTTTTTTGATTTTTGGCTAGGCTTTTTTAAATATATGATGTTGAATGATAATTTTATTTAACAGGGGTATCGGATGGTCAAACGTGGATCAAGAGCTTGCCTATTAGGGAAAGTTGAAACGTGCAACTATCTAAGACAAGATAACTTTTTGGAGGTAAATGTCTAAATTACCCTTCACTAATTATAAAAAGGGTAAATATTGTGGATGAGAATTAGTTAAAAAGTCTTACTAACTATGAATTGGGAAAGTCTTGTTGATGTGCATAGTGTCAAGCAAAGTAGCCGGGATGTTGTTACCCACTTGGCCTTGCTATGTTCTCGTTTTTCTGTTTACATGTTTGTAGGTATGGCGGCATTGCTAACACTGTTACCCATTCAATATTTCTTTATTCTCCTTTAACCTTTTTTTTCTTTGTTGTAAAAGAACTAACTTTAAAAAGGAAAGAAATTAATTGATGAAGTTTTTTATTGATTAGGTGTCTTGATTGAACTGCAGGGGTAGTGGGGCAGACAATTAGGAGGAATTGATGGAAAATCAAGCATTTAAAGGGATCCAACCGGTTGTACATGTCTTGTTTTTTTATAATAAATATTATCCAATATCAGCAATGTATTACATTTACTTACTATTGGAATGATTATTTGTATTTGACATATTAGTGCAATGAATTATCTTTCTTATTTATTGTATTTTATTTTGTGTTATGATAATTTCAATCTATTGTTTAATTTGAAAAATTATTACTTCTATAAAAAATATATATAATTTTAAAACATTTAAAATTATGACACGTAATGGCGTGTCGTCTTCCTTTATGACAGGGGCTTCCTTGATACGCATTGCGTGTCATAAACACGCGCGTCGTAAGGTTACGACACACAAATGGGTGTCGTCTTTCTTTATGACAGGGCCTTCCTTGATACGCATTGCGTGTCATAACTGCGCGCCGTAAATGCGCGTCGTAACTGCGCGTCGTAAATAGACGACGCACAAAAGCGTGTCGTCTCTCATTATGACAGGGCCTTCCTTGACACACATTTGCGCGTTGTCTGAGCATTTTACGACACACATTGCGCGTTGTAAAATACTGTTTTTCTAGTAGTGAGAATTAATTAGTTTTATGAATGAGACCTTTTATATCCATAACTTATGGAGGTTTCATAAACTATTTAGATCAAACATTTAAACTAATAAAAATAATCATATTATTTTATCTTTTACTAAATTGATCTAATTCAATTCTTGTAGCAAAATGATTCAAATTTTACAAATAATTGGTATATCACAAAATCAAGTGATTATCTTAAAATTTGAAAATCATCATGTTATTGGATGGGGATTGTAATGCCCGTGTTTCTAGGCTAGACATTAATATTGACATGATAGTCTAGGTTAACCTTTGCGATTCATTTTGAAGAAATGAAAAGGAATTATGTGAATATTATGTGTTTTATGTGTTATATGCTTAATTATTAGGGTTTAATTAATTAAGACTAAAAATGAGCGTCGAAAATAAATATTAGATAAAGCCGATATTTATTAAGAAAGTTGTAGTGGTCGTGACAAGGATTACGGATATATAAAGAATGCCGAAATCCGAGTTATAACGAAGAAGTTATGACCTGTCGAAGTTTCGCGACAAACCGACACGGTGCCGAATGTCGTAAAAAGTGAGTTTTTGATAAACTACTTTTTAGCCTTAGTGATCTTAACGAAACTTGTAGTGTTCGTTAAACCGAGAGTAGGTATAAAAAGAACGCCCAAATCTGACTTCGTATGAGGAAGTTATGACTTTTCGAAGTTTCAACTTAGCAGTAGACAACTAAAAACTCGAATTTTAGATCGAGAGATTTTTAGCCGACACGACCTAAACGAGAATCGAAGGTCTCGTCATTAGTAGCACAACGGTAAAAAGTCTGACGAAAACGGACGTCGGGTGAAGAAGTTATGAATTTTCAACAGATTTTCTGTCCTGGTCTGTTAAAAATAATAATTTAAAAATTAAATTCAAAATTAGCCGACGAAGTTTAAACGAAAGTTTTAGAGCATAAATTTACCTACGCGTGCATATAAAGAACGTCAAAAACGGAGCTCGTATGCGAAAGTTATGGATTTTATAAGATTTGGCGCGAAAATCGAGAAAAATCCCCAAAACCGAGGAATTTCGCACACGTGGACTTCGGCCATGTGTCCTCGCTTTGCATCCGATGCGTGTCCGAAAGCTGCTGAGTCACCGAAGCCACCTGGCGAGGCGTGTCATGTTCTTCTCGAGTCTGAGGTTCGGTCGAGTAGGAGGCTGCCCCGTGTCCGATCTCGGTGTGTCATCAGCAACGTGTCCGAACCGAGGAGCTGTCCGAAGCGGTCCAATCAGAAGCCTCCAATGAGGCCCTCGCACGCGCAACCCATGTGCGAGCACCTGCGCACCCTCGCCTGCGGACCCCACTCTTCTAAGTCGACCTTCGGACCCTATAAATAGAAGGGTATGCGAACCCTCCCGGGTTACTTTTGAGATTTTGCCATATTTAGCCCCTTTTTCCATATTTTCTTCATCTTAACATTCCCCAAAGCCCCGGTATCGATTATAACCCCCAGAATACGCCACGAAGTGCCCGAGAAGCCCGGAAAATTTATCTTTTGGTTTTCGAAGCCCGACCCTTCGCAGAGCCCGGTTTCTGAATAAAACTCCCGGTTTTATTAGAAACGATCGTTTTAGGAAACGAATTGCTGCCCGATTTTCATTAAATCAGGTGAGTGTGTAGTTACTTTCACCTTACACATAGATATGAAGTATTTTATATAAAATACGTGCTGTGTGAATATTTATTGTTTGTTTATTTGAGTTGGATGTTGAAGGAGTGATTTATACATGTTTTTAAATAATTTAAACTGTATATGTATTTTTATCTACAAAAATGTTGGGTAAAACATGGGTAGATGAAATAGTGGGTGTGATGAAAGGTGAGTTGGATAGATGAGATGATCAGTGATAGAGATCATGAGTTGAGAGTGAGTGGTGAAATGAGATCATGAGTTGATAGTGAGGGGGTGAAGCCCTTACCCAAACGTATGGCGTGAGTGGTGCAATATGAGAAAAGCCCTTACCCAAACGTGGGCCCCCGTCATTCAACAGAGTATGGATGACAACCATGGACTATTCTAGACAGTCTGTGGAACACTAGCAGGCCCGCCGCAACCTGCAGGTGTAATGAACTATATGTTCATTTGTTGTACTCTAAAAACCCATTGACATGTATTGCAGGGGGGGGGATACCTGTAAATAATATTGTCGATAAATGAGAGCTATGGACTTAGCACATGTTGAATAAACCTTGGCAGCTATGGACTTAGTGCCCGTTGTATAAACCCCGGTGACGAGGTGACTTTGTGTCTATTCCTTAGGATGAATCCTTAGGAAGGAGTGATAGTTGATTCTTAGGGTAAACCCTTAAGAAATAAATAAGATAATGGGGTTGGGGTAATTCGGTTGATTGATTGATGTTTAAGCATATTAAATTATGTATTGTGGGTTGAAAACCCTATATGCTCACCAGGCTTCCAAGCCTGACCCACTCAGCTTTTTATATTACAGGTAGTGGACCCCGATCATAGTCGGATGATGATGATGAGTGATTTTGGATTATAGGCCAGTAGTTATAAATAACTGTTGTACGGCTTATAGTGTCTTGTTTATGCTTTTGATCTGTATCGGAACATGACATCCCGAGGTTTTGATATAAAAGGAAATTATATATTTCTTAAAGAAAGGTTTTGACAAACTTTTATCATATTTTGTTTTGGGGACCAATTCCGCAACATCTTTTATAAAGATTTCTCTGATTTGATTTTAAAAAGCATAAATTAAATCGGTCTTTTCTGGCCGAGAAATTAGGGGATGTCACAGTTGGTATCAGAGCATTAGTTTAAGCGAACTAAGAAATTGTAGGATTTCTAGACTTAAACTTAGAATGCTAAGCGATGATTGTGAGTTGAGTGTGTCTATTATGTTTTAGGTAGTACACCTAAATTGACACAAGCATTAGTTTAGTTTAGGAAGGATGCCTAAAATGCTTTTATGTGCTAAATGTTTTGTGTTATAGCTATAATGATGCTATTATATGTTCGGATCTATGGTTTGTTGCCAACCGGATCTGGAAACCTTATGTGTGTAGGATTCTAAGCGTATGATTACGAGATTAGAACTAACATGTAAACGTTTCGAAGTGATAAGGAAATTTATACGTCGATCGTAAATAAAGCTTTCCTATCTTAAGTTCTCGCCCAGTACACCGAACGTCTGCTTGGGTGTACAAAAATTATGGTGAAGACTCGTAGAGAATTGAGTAGATGGAGGAAATGAAAAGCCTATGATAGTGAATGATACCTATCAGGAGATATCGTAAGAATGGTATCTTGCCTTTAGAATATGTCTAATAAAATAACGGAACGTTTAGAGGGGGTACGGTACGTCTGAAGTACACCTCCGATTGGCAGGATGATGAATGGTTGGTGTAATTCTTGAAGTTATTCCATCGTCTGGAATTTCCATCACCAACCAAGTTGAAATAGAATTGATGATTGAAGATACACGTGGAAGAAGTCCTAGTAGAGTCTAGGAATATTTTATGATTACTTGGACACATTCGTATGTGTTAAATTGTTTTGTGATTTTAGGTTATTGGGGACTGCGAGACAGTACTTGGGACGAGTATGAGTAGGTGTGAATAGTAGTAGAGATCTATACTACTGGAAGCACATGACTCACACTTGGATCAGGGAAAGTCACAAGGTTACCAAGGAACTAGTAATTGACTCCGTCTGATTCTAGTCTGTCGTTACCATCGTTTCGGTAATGACTAAGAAGATGATTGTTATTCCGACCTTAGAGGTCATATCGAATTGAGTCCGACTACGATGATTTTGTTACGTAGTTCTGAGAACCAAGTTCGATGTAGCATTTGACTTAAGCCAAATGATTGAAGTAAAGGATGATCAAAGCGATCAATAGAAGTATCGCGTTCGTAGTTAAAGAAGTTGGGTTAGGTTGTGTTCTGACCCAAAGGGATAAAGTGATAGCGTATGCATCGAGGCAGTTGAAAGAGCATGAAAAGAACTACCCCACTCACGATTTGGAGTTGGCAGCGGTAGTATTTGCCTTAAAGATATGG